TGCGAGATAGTTTCCCACTTCAATTTGTTGTGTGATTTGAATACTCTTTTTGTCAATAAATTCCCCAAGTAGTTAATATGATTGGCTTGATTATATTTTTTTATTTTTTTATTTTTTTAAAACAATTATTATTATTATTATTATTATTATTATTATTATTATTATTATTATTATTATTATTATTATTATTATTATTATTATTATTATTACTATTACTATTATTATTATTATTATTATTATTATTATTATTATTATTATTATTATTATTATTATTATTATTATTATTATTATACTCTTAGGTCATTTTACATGTTAATCTAAACAGCTAATTTTTTTTAAATATCTAATTTTTACTAACTGTGGATATAATTCGCTAGTCAAATTCTCTAATATAATCCGCTAACTACTGATTGTTAAACAAGGACATTGCGAGGTAGTTCTCACTTCAATTTGTTGTGTGATTTGAATACTCCCGTTGTCAACAAATCCCTCAAGTAGTTAATATATTGGCTTTATTAATTATATTTTTTTAAAAAAAATTCATGGTATTATAAAATACTTAATTGGTAAATAAATATATAGCATTATTTTGTATAATAACTTTGATATTTAATTAAAAAATAGTGCTCAAAAAAGATAATAGACAATGTAGTGAATATAATCAATTGATGAATTTGAATGTAAAGAATTTTTTACATTGGAGAAATATAAAGACAATATAACTAATAAAATTATTTATCCTAATTATCAATTGATAATGAATCCATTTTTTTAATAAAGACATTGTAAGGACAATGTAGCGAATATAATCAATTGATGAATTTGAATGTAAATGATTTTTATATTTGAGAAAAATAAATACAATATAACTAATAAAATTATTTCTCTTATTTAATTTATTGATAATGAATAATTTTTTTTTGAATAAAGACATTATAGACACATAATTCTAAATTAAAGAAATGCATATGTATTATTTTTTGTTGTAGCTACTAAATTATTATCTCTACATCTCTACATCTCTTCTCTACAATTCTAATAAGAGCCAATAATGTTAGGCCCTTTGACTGAAACAAAAAATTGTCGGTAGTATTGTTTCTTAAAATGAATGGTTTATATTATTTTGATTTTAGTATTTTTTTTTAATGATTTTTCTTATTTACCCTCTATTATATTATTTTCTTCTCTTAAATAACCTAAATTTCGTTAATATAAACTTTAGTAACAGAACATTTCGTTAACTATTTATTATTTTTAACTTACTCATTAATTTCTATAAGAAATGTCTTAAGTTCGAACCACATCCTAATTAGAGTTGGCATAATTGTTAAACATATACTACGAATATGTTAAAATATATTTTTAAAAAATATAATATAAAATTTAACATAAATTTTGGTCAAATAATTAGTTCGACTAAATACATAACATTCAAAGTTAAGCATCAAAGATTATAAATCGAGAACTTTAAAAATCATTTGATTTTTATGCATTTAAAAAAAAAAAACAAAACAAATTTAGGTTAATTTTTTTTTCATTTAATTAATCTTCTTTTGATTATTTAGATCAGAACAAAACTTAATAGGTAAATTATACTTTTGCATTATTGGTATGATTTAGGTCGTTATGGTATTAATATTTTTTGTATGTATTTTTATAGTGGTACAATTGTACATTACTTTACAAATATTATACTATTATTTTTTTTATCGGACAAAATTGTTCTTACATCATTGTCAGACCTACGCGACCTAACTACAAAGTTGTTGATCATAAATACAATTACACCTGGACTCTAAAACGGTAGGACCATTTTCCAAAGAATTGACAATGTTGACATTCCACTGGCTCCAATTGAACAATTTTACATATCAAAATTTTATCAATGCATGAAAACTTCTAAAGAAATTTGTAAATTAATTTTTACTATATCATTATAATAATATCTATTGTAACTATATATTTTGAATTATTTATTATCATCCTCTATTGACATAAATTGTAATAATTGTCATGGACAAACTCTCAAAACAATTTGTCTCAACAACGAATGTAAATTAAAAAAAAAATAATGATTTCATTATTGTTGATGAAAAGTATGTACGCCACTTTATTACTCTTATTAAATTGAATAAATTAGTAGCTACAACAAAAAATAATACATATGCATTTAATTAATTTAGAATTAGATGTCTGTAATGTCTTTATTTAAAAAAAAATTATTCATTATAAAAAATTTAAAAAGAGATATAATTTCATTAGTTATATTATCTTTATTTTCTACAATTCAAAGATTCATTACCTTCAAATTTATTAATTTATTATATTCACTACATTGTCCATTGTCTTCTTTTTACATTATCTTCTAATTAAATATCAAAGTTATATTCAACAAAAAAAAAATATCAAAGTTATAATACAAAATATGTTATATATATATATATATATATATATATATATATATATATATATATATATATATATATATATATATATATATATTTATTTATTTATTTATTTATTTATTTATTTATTTATTTACCAAGTATTTTATACAAATATAATAAATATTAGGGAAAAGGGTCAAATAGGCCCTCGAACTTTAGCTTAAAAGTCAATTAGGCCCCTAAACTTTTTAAATGTGCAATTACACCTATCAATAATTCATTTAAGTGCAATGAAGCCCAAAAAAAAAATTAATGACCTGCTATCACAGGTCATTAGGGTTCAGGCCACCTTCCGGTGAATTTTCCGGCAAAAAAAAAAAAGTGACCGGCGAAATTTTCGACAAATTTGGGTAGGTTGCTGGTCACATTTTTTTTGTCGGAAAATTCGACGGAAGGTGGCCTGAACCCAAATGACCTATGATAGCAGGTCATTAACTTGTTTTTGGGCTTCATTGCACCTAAATGAATTGTTAATGGGTGTAATTGCACCTTTAAACAGTTTAGGGACCTAATTGACTTTTAAGCTAAAGTTCGAGGGCCTATTTGACCTTTTTCCCTAAATATTAATATTTTAATTTGTTCAATACTTTCACATGATAACCTACGACACACATCTCACAACACATGAAACATGTAGGGGAAAAACTACAACTACCAAATATTAATAGGTGCTTGTAAGATAAAGAGTTAATAGTATAACTAGGATACCATCATATACACAACAAGGCAAATATAAAGCTTCCTACATCATAATCTCATTGCACGATGAATCCATCTATGCTACCACTAGTAACCTAATTGCACATGACACACTACAAATAAAAAAAAAAAATGACATGTACTGAAGATGAAGACAATGCAATGCTACCCAAAAAAAAAAAAAAAATAGAGAAATTTAAACAAAAAAATAGTATTTATTTAGACTATCGTTTTTAGACTAGCGTTATTACAAAGTTGCAAACATTTATTTTAGTGACAATATAATCAATCTCTCATATATTATCTTGCATTTATATACTTTAAATTACTGATTTAAATAAACAAATTCAATATTTATTTACCTATGCATGAACATCTTCGATATAATATTGCATTGATATACTTTGAAATATTTATTTAAAAATAATCATTGGGCATTATTACATTCGCGTAATGCGCATAAAAAAACTAGTAATTTAATAAGAGTAAAATAGAGTACTAATTATGCCAACTTTGATTGGGATGAGGTTCAGATCTAAGATCTTTCTTATTGAAATCAATGAGTAAGTTCACGGTGAACTAACAGAAATTAGGGGAAAAGATCATATTTAACAAAAAAGTTAACGGATAATTATATTCGTTAAGGATAAATTAGAAAATCTTAAGGAAAAATTAAAATCTGATCAATCTGAGTCATTCATTTGATTAAAAAATTTGATCGCTATTTTTTCTACCAATTATAGGCCTAACTCTTTTAGACTCTTATTAGTAGAGTAGATATATATATATATATATATATATATATATATATATATATATATACTACAACTATTGATGATACTCTAAAGAGACGGATAAACTAACCTGATGAAGTTAACTAGATTACCCTTCTACTCCCTTCCTTTATGTTCCAACAAATTTTTGTTGAGGATTGTATGACACATCCCAAATTCCCAATCTAATAGAGTACCGTACCAGTCTTGAGAAGGATTAATTTGCTTTAATTTGTTTCAGGTCCTTCCTCCTACTTTGATTAAAAATATACATATATTATTAGGTGAACCAAATAACCAAATCCCACATTCATTGCATGTAAATGGCAGAGAGACAGATCTGGAATCTGAAAAAGTAAAAAACACCATTAACAAACAACACAGCATCCTTAAAAATTTGGGAACCACCTTCATCATAAGAATCCCACATATATAATATATTATTCAGAAAAATATTAATTGCCTACAAATGCCAACACCACACCATTTCTCCTATTCCCCATACAATTAGGCATAAGATAATGATATGTGCTGTGATTTCCACAATTAATAATTAGCTGTCCCCTCCTCCATTATGCACTCACCTTCCCCATTTTACCCCTGATTTGAAATGATTAGGATCTTAACCTAGGGGCAACTTTGGGATTTCACCATGGCTTGCCATTTTTAATGCCCCCAGCTTTGCTTGGGATAGTAGTATTTGGTGTGGTAACCCAGTTAATAATTTGATGTCCCCTCCTCCAATGTGCACTCAAAATCCCCATTTTACCCCTGATCAGAACATGATTAGGCTCTTAACCTGGGGGTAAACTTGGGATTTCACATGACTTGCCATTTTTAATGCCCCTAACTTTACTAGGGATAATAATCTTGGATGTGGTAGTGTGGTACCCAAATTAATAATTTGCTGTCCCTTCCTCCAATGTGCATGCCAATTCCCCATTTTACCCCTGAGAACAGTTTGTTTTGATTGTCTGCAAAGGGGGCAGCTTTGGAATTTCCTATGACTTGCCATGTTGAGGGCGCCTCAAAAGTAACGTTAAAGAAGGCAACACAAGAAGGAACACATCACAACATTGAAAACAACAGCATATGATGGTGAGTCAAAGGTAGTGGCTTTTTTTTGTGGACAGTCACAGTGGCATGGCAGCTCTCTGTCCCTCAATCCTCATGTGAGAGAGAGTGCCAGTTTCACCCTCCCTACCCACCCCCCCCACCATAAAGTTTGTATCTTTATGCTATTTACATTTACATATATATGTGTGTGTATGTATATATATGTGTTTGTTTACACACCTACTTTTCTTGATTCTTTGAGAATCAGGTGACCTGCTGAGTGCTGAATCAGAAGCTGAATGTTAGCTGGTGTGTAATATGGGGTTTTGGTATCTTTGCTTTTAAGAATACCCAACAGTGAAACAATTGAGCTTTTTCTTGGATGATGAGGCTTTGAGCTCAAGAGATTAGATTAGAGGCAATGATTGGTTTTGTTCAGATGTTGTTGGGGTTTGCTTTGGCTTCACTTCTGTGAGATCAAGTTGGGTATGGGCTGTTTTGCAATTATCAGTCTGTGCTGTTTTCTTGTCTTTTCTTGCATTGCAATTGTACTAAGGTTAGCATTTGTCTTGTAATAAAGCATTCTTGGATTTGTTGTTGCTTATAATGTCTCTGTGAATTAGATTGGTATTGTAGTTCTTTTGTTGCTTTTCCTTGTTCTCAAGTTCCAGTGTTGTTCTTTCATTTTCATGAGCATCAACTAAAATTGGAAGATTAGATCTTTTCCTAGTTCAGTTTCATGAAAATTGAGGTTCTAGGTTTAAGGTCCATTAGATAATTTTCTGCAATCTTGCAGTCAATTAAGAAATGGGTATGGCCTATTTCCTGTTTTTTTCAAGTTTCTGGTATTTGCTTTTTAAGGATATGGTGTCATTTTTGTTTCTTAGTTTGGAATTACTATGTTAGATATGGCTTATTGCTTCAATCCATACTATGTTTAGCATATTTGGTTTTGGGACCCTTTTCTTTGTCCTTTAATCCTAGTATGTATGTATTCCAGAAGTTCAATAGTGACCAAAATAGATAGTTTTGGTGACAACCACTAAATGTGAAATTTCTTGTAGTGTATAATGTCTGTACTAAAAACATTTGTGTGTTATAGCAGATATGCTTGTGGTTTGTGTCAGTGCCAATATTGTACTCATAATGTTGTGTTGTTTTTGATAGGTTATAGATCTAGTGATGTGATCCGAGATGGAGTTGGAGTTCGACAAGTATTGCGTGGTGGATGGAAGTCCAACGACTGTTCTTCCAGCTCCCCGGCATTGCCCAAAAGTTGACAAGAGAACACTGAGGGGAAAGCCCAAACATGGAAGGGAGGTATTGTGCATAAACGAAGACTTCACTGAGATCAATTTTCATCGTTACCGTTCTATATCGTGTAAAGATGTTCCATCTAGGATAACTTATTCAGAAGGCAATAATAAAGTGCTAAAGAGAGGTTCTGTTTATCAGAGTTCCAAAGAACGCTTCCAGCGAACTGGTAATGGGGAGGAGAGGGCTAAAATAGAATTCTCACGAGGCAGTGTCACAGGTTTCTCGTTTGGAATTGTTGATGTGTTGTGTAGTTCCGATGAGGATAGCTCCCGAGTAGAAGAAAATAGATCCTCATCGATGTCGATGAACTCTGATTTAAGTACCGGATCGAGTAAAAAGCCAAATGCTGATTTTTTTAGCCTCCCCTTCCACCCCATTCCCGAGATTGGTGCCACACCGGATGGGTTTGCAGAAATTTCTTCAAACTCTGATCACAGAGAAAACCGAAATAATCATAATGCAGTGAGCCAATCTGCTCGGGATTCCAAGGTTTCGGCCGGGTTACCCAAGTCATTGTCAGCTAAACTGGCACTGCCTCATTCACCCGCTCGATCAGAAAACGATTTCTCCAGAGCTAGTAGTCCAAAGGCCCGGTTCAGTCCCGTGAAAAGGATGTTTGATCCGTTTGGTAAATCCAAGTCTCATAGAAGTCCCTTGGGTAATCCCGTTGATTTCTCAAATATGGCACAACATTTGAGTTACGGTTCCCAGCCTGTCAAGAATGAGACTTGCAATTCACTTCTGCAGGGTTCACCAGCTCATTTACAAGGCTTTCTCAAGCTGGAGAGGAAAAACGGGGCACCTTTCTTTGAGTTTTCGCTACCATTCCCAGAAGATGTTATTGTGGCCGAGACATGGAAAGTTGACAATACTTTGAATTGGGTATATGCATTCCGTTCTCTTCATAACCGAAAGAAGAGCAGTGTGAATCGATATGGATCGAAAGATAGCACTAAAGAGTCCTCTTTGGTTGGACAAATGCAAATCTCTTGTTATTTTTGTACAGAACTAAAAGATGCTCGTGTTTGTGATAACTCTATAGTCATGGAATTCGTCTTGTATGATACTTCCCATCCGAGAAAAAATGGTTCCTCACACGAAAGTTCATGTTCTTCCCCTGATGTATCCAAGGGTTTACCCGGGGTAAATATTGAGTCCAATGAGGTTCCTAAAACAAAGACGAAAAAGAAGTCCAAGAATGCTCATGGTACAGGTTATTTTGATTCATCCGCTCCTCATCCTTTGGCACCAGAAGAATTGCACCCGGGGCTTGAAATGGCTGCCATGGTGATAGAATTACCATTTGAAAAACGAGAGAGTTTGAAATACACAAGCAGGGATAATAAATACAATCAGCCTCTTCCGGATTTGCTGGATTTCTCTTTCGACGAGAAGAAAATAAAAGGTGCTTGCAATAATTTGAGCCCTGTGAAGATAAATGCCGTGATACCTTCTGGAAATCACAGCTTGCCAACGACCGAAAGCCAAGGCCCTTATCCATTGCTAGATAGATGGCGGTTAGGTGGAGGTTGTGATTGTGGTGGCTGGGACATGGCGTGCCCGCTAAATGTATTTGGCAATAAAAATACCCAGATTGATGATGACTATCCACTCATGAGCAACCGGAGGCCCATCAAACTCTTTGTTCAGGTAATCGTCTTATCTGATGCATTATTTTAGCCGAATACTTATGATTGAATGGTTTAGGCTAGTGCGTTATAGGTAGATGGACTAATAAGTAACTGTTGGGCGGAGGCTGGTAAAAGCCAAGTCTAGCACCCGGTGGCTGGGGGGTTATTGGCCAGAGGCCGGTAAAGGCCAAGTTCAGCACCTAGCGTCTTGAAAATGTGATGGCGGTCTATAAGGAAATAAAGTTGCACATTTGCTACTAGCTATGACTTTTGGCGTAAGTGGTAAGCACTTGATCCTAACTAATGTTGAAAAAATCGCTAGGCGCTTGGGGACCGCCTAGGGCGCCTAGAGCGCCTAGGAGGCCAACCGCCTAGCGCCTAATCGGCACCTAGGTGCAATTTTTGCAACACTGATCCTAACAGTAACTAGCAGTTGAAAATTACCGACTTGCTATTCTTACAACTGTTTTGCCATCCGAAATGTTTTCAGGGAAAGAAAGACGAGACACCAGCGTTGACAATGACATTGACAGAGGACGGACAGTATGCGGTTAACTTCCACGCTCAGTTATCCGCATTACAAGCGTTCTCCATTTGTGTCTCCGTTTTGCACACCATGGAAGCCTCAGCTGCTGTGGGACACGACGAAAAAGGAAAATCCTCGGAGCAAAGTTCACCTAGAATGTTTGCTGAGGATGACTTTCGAAGCTTGATCGAAGCAGTTAGACAGCAAGAGAAGCAGAAAGTTGGCAAAAAGGTCCCTTATTTCGTTCTCAACCCGCCCTTCTCTCCAATTGCTCGTGTATAGCGGTTAACAGATGCTCTCTTGGGGACAGTTCTGCAACACACTTTTCTCTGCATTTCCAGACTCATAGGCTGTAGAGTTTCCCAGTTTAGTGAAATCTTGAAAAAATGTCATACTGTTCATACAACTAGTTAATAGAGTAGGGGATAGTAATTCATTTATAATTGAAAAGAGTAGATGTAGTTTAGAGATAAAGGTTGCTTCCTTCAATGTAACCAAGGTGCTAAAGAAAACTATTTTTGCAGTCTTGGGAACTCTTGTTCATGTGTTATATACAGAATATTTGTAAGAACATTTGATACTTCTCCCAAAATGTTGAATCTCCAACCCCAATGCCCCCCTACACTCCGGCCCAACAGAGCATTTAGGAAGATGTAAATCATGATAACTCAATGATTCAATAGACAGGACTAAATACCGATGCTCGGAGTTAATCTCATTTTTAGTCTCTCGACTATTGCATTTTTTCACTATTAGTTCTCAAATTTAAAATCAATCAAATTTGATCCCTTAATTAGCAAAAATTGTGCTATTTTTGTACACCCATTGTTGAAAATGTACCATTTTGTCTTCTAAAAATGGCAAATCTTGAACTGAATTCTATCAAGATTCGTAAACAGATTAGATTATCATACACACATTAGGGATCCCAGCTTATGCTAGACTAATCTTAAATTCATGCCCTAGAGCCACTAGAGCAAGTCATCCCGTCAGTCCCCGGGTTCCCACCCCTGCATATATACTTTGCGCATAAAGGGTCTTCATCACCTCTGATCGGTCAAGTCTCTCAATGATTCCAAGGTTCCAAGAATCCAAATCCCACATTGCTACTGGAGCAAGACTTTAAGATGATCGGACGAACGAACTGAACTAACCCGCAGGGCAAATAATGCAACCTTCATTCTTTGACAGATGATAGTGTAGAATCATCTCCAAAACATGGTTCATGATGAGTCCTTTGTGCACTACTCTGATGGAGGTCTAAAGAAAATAACCTCTTGAAAGATTCATATGATGCAAAGAAGAGAGCACCTTGAGTCATATACATCACCAATCTCGGAGTCAGGCCCCTGTCAGAAATACGACGAACAATCAATGCCTCATTCATGAGGTTCGCGATAAAATACATGATTTAGAACCAAAAGACCAATCCATCATACAAAATTTTGTAAGAAGCAATGATAGGTTTTTAACCATTCTACTCAAAAGTCTTTCTAGAACTCTTACCGGTAGAGACCCTTTAGACCTTCACTCTTCCCTATTTCTTTAAGGGTGTGAAGAACACCATCATACTGGTTTGAGCCAGGAACCTGCACAGTAACAACTTCTTAGCAGCCAACAAAGTTGTTATTAAGGTAGCAGATTAGCGATGGGGATTTGAAAAGGGAAACAAATATAAATAACTAACCTGTGTCTGTAACCTTGTCTTCACTACATCGAAAGGTGTTGTGAATAGCGCAGCCGTAGATCCAGCCAATCCCCCACAAACGAGCTGCATGGATTAAGGACAAAAGAAAACGAAAAGAGCATTCATTAAAATAAGACTAATATATGAACATTTATTAAGCATTTGATTCAATCTGCACAATTAAATCAATCATCATGCCTCAATGGCATAGTGAAGAGCCAAAGATAGAAAGTTCAACAAGATTGAATTTTATCTGTCAATGGTCAAGAACCGAAGCTCGGGAAAACACTCAAACACAGAGAAAACCAACTGTACAAAGCAGCAGCAGTTATAACTGACAGAAAACATACCGTCATTAGTGTGTTGTTTTGGATGTCAAATTGCACTGACGATGACATCAATTGCTTCAAGCTTTCATATGTGTAGAACTGCAAGTCGAATTGTAAATCTATGATGAAATCTATGAAATGGAAAACCCTACATACACAAAGTAAATACTACCAAAATACAATCAAAGTAGTATCAAAGGTAGCCAAAAGTAACCAGCTTGGTTAGCGTGATTGGCAGTGTACTCTCATACCTTAAAAGAGGTCGGGTGTTCAAACCCCCTCTCGTATGGCAAAACCAATCTGGCCAGCACTTTGCCCCTTAATTGGGCCGGGCCGGTGCGAATGGGGATTAGTCTGAGTATGGTACGGGCTTAAAGGTGCCTCCTACAGTTAGGGCCTACTAAGGAGTCTAACCAAAAAAAAAAGGTAGCCAAAAGTAGAGACTCGGGCATAAACAAAAAAACCATAGATTTACCTTGATAATTGAGTGTGGAACATTGCGGCAGAGAACGGCTCCCCACCCAGCATATAATGAAGGCAATCCACCTCTTCTAATAATACCAATCAAGGCATTCCTACAGAAACATAATTGAAAAGGTAAGATGACATTCGAGGATCCACGTTGAAGAAAACATGATACAAAGTCCAAACTGAGTTCTTTGTTTCAGGTAAAACAATTCAAAGACACAATTACTTCAAAAAGCACATGCTATATCCAATGTAGACTTCTTAAAAAATAATAAAGTGCTTTGATGTATCATTACTCAAGCAGTTTGGATTTCTATATTTAGAGAACTTATATGGTAAATATGTACCGGGATCTTGAGCTTACCAGCAGTTTTTATAATGTGAACGAACTTGCATCTGTTGTTTAACGCGCTCACTTGGAGTGAAAATGAAAGAAGTAGCAACACTTGCACAACCCCCTGCAACGCAATGGGCCACAGATTGATACTCCTGTGAGAAAAATAAAATAAAATACTTCAGAACAAGAATTGAATTACAACTAAACCAATATTTGATCCACAATAAAGGGGGTGTTTGGTAAATAGTTGTTAGCTGATTAGGTTAGTGGGTTTGACTAGTTGATAACATTAGCGGATTGTAGAAAAGTGTTTGGTAACTTAGCTGTTAGCTGATAGCTGATTACATGCAAAATGACTTTCTCAAAAAGCTTATCGAAAAAGCTACTTTGAGCAGTTTTTTGAATTTTAGCATTTTGGAGCAATAAGTTGTTACGAAAAGCTAATTAATCAAACATTTATATTGATTGTTTAACCAAGTCAAACAACTAATAGTTGTCAAAATAAGCCAAAATTAGCCGATAAGCTAACTATGTTACCAAACAAGGCCAAAGTATAATAGCATCCAAACCAGCAATGACATGAGAAATTTTCTGTTATTTACAGAACTTGCTGTTTCCCTTTGTTTTGAGCGAAGGGTGGCATGAAACTCTTAGGGATCATAAAATGAAAGATAAGCATTTACCGTGTGGAGAAAAGGAAGCAGTGCTCCCTTCACTGATTCATAAGTGAAAGTGTAAAGTGCAGATATTGGCGCTGAAGAAGCAATATTGCTAGAAATTCCACGATAAAGCCCCAATACACCTGGAAGTTAATTTTAATATAACTGAAAAACGTCACTTCAGATATGCCATCAAGCAAATAGAAGCATCTCCGTAATTATCAGAAGCAGTAAATTCTGAATTTGTAAAGTTAAGGAGTACCTCTTTCAGAGATAACCGATCTGCCTATGTAGTAAAAAGGTTTCTGATCAGCACGACACGATTGAATGACAGTCTTAATTGTATCCATTGGGTGCAGACAAAGGCTGACAAAAATACCAGCCATTGCCCCTGCGAATGCGTGTTCTTGTTTTGCAAGTGCATGACATGGTTTTTCCTTAGCTACTACACTAATCTCTGATTCAGAATTGCACTCAATGCCTCCAAACCGTTGATTCGGACCATAATCATCCAACCCACTGTCAGACCTATTTTCATACTTAGTTTCATCACAAGCACAATATTCCGAAGTGGAATGTTTCTCTGAGGAATATCCATGAACTTCAGAACTCGACATCTGGAATGCATTGGGTTCTAGAACATGGAAAAGCACATTACCATTCTTCGAGCATAAGGCACTATTGGAAGCACCTGAACTTTTATGAAGGTTTAAATTGTGACTTGACAATGAACTAGTGGGTTTTATATCAGTGTGGCAATCAGTATTACCAGCGCTTAAGTTATCAGAACAACTAGTTGCATCTCTGACATCACAGCCATTGGTTGAACTACTATTAATGTTGCCTAAGCTACAATCACCAAATTCATGGTTTTGAATGCTAGAAGAACCTAATTTGGATTTAGAAAAAGCTATTTCATTCATCCATCCATATACATTTTCTAGATTATACGATATCCTTAGACTTGAAAGACCTATACCTTTACTGGATTTGTGTTGCACATCCAATCCGTTACGGAGAAATCTCCATAAATAATCTCTCTTGTTACGAGATTCAAAGAATGAGATATTCCTATTAGCATTCAAACTCTCCGGATTTTTTGACACAAGTAATGAAGAATCTTTATCACAGCTCAGATGGACCGGGGTGTTTTTGCCGTCAGCAGATGGAGGTGAACTGCAAGAATCCTCCATGGGCGGGAAATAAAGTATATCGTTTTCCTGAGGATCAACATTTCTGTGAGCAGAACTTGCACTCGAAAGGATAAACGAAAGAGGATGAGCTGCAGAATTCCAAATATTGCCAACCGCTGAAATAAGCTCTCTTGTGGTCATTATTTCAGGAGGTTTGCGTTCACGTTCAGCAATCTTGTTATTTTGCTTCTTATTCTCTGATGAAATGGTGGCATAGTTTTCACGATCGGAATCAGCAAGTTCAAAGAACGCCCCCTCAAGTAGATTACACCTGTATTTGGTTGGCAGTTTGTCGCCCTTTGGCGGCTGATTGCCCCAAGCCATTTTATCACAAAAAAGTTGAGGTAAGGAATGGAAGTGCAACAGCAACGTGGATCTGACATAATGAACAATAGACGTGAATGAGAATTGCTTGCAAGCAAAAACCACATTGTAGAAACTATCAGCTAAACAAAGTGACTTGGGAAACCCAAATGCATCAAAAGTCCATATCAATCTACTTGCCTGTTTGGTAAAATAGTTAGCTTATCAGCCAATTTTGGCTTATTTGATCACTATTAGCTGTTTGATTTGGTTAAAAAATCAATATAAGTGTTTGGTTAATCAGCTTTTTGTAACTCCAAAATGCTAAAATTCAAAAAGCTGCTCAAAACAACTTTTTCATTACCTTTTTGAGATAAGAAATTATACCAAACAACTATAAGCTAACAGCTAATTTACCAAACATCTTTCTACAATCAGCTAATGTTATCAACTAGTCATACCCTCTAACCCAATCAGCTAACAATCATTTACCAAACAGGGATCTAATTACTACATTGTAGTTGAATAGATTTGCTTGTTATTTGCTATGATTTCCCCAAGAAAATTAATGAAATTCAAAACATTCTCAGGCACACAGTAGTGGAAATGTCCATTTACCTTCAATTTGCCAAAAACTTCAAATCTCTCATAGCTAGGATGGGTTCAGCTAGCTACATTGTGCAAACACCATCCCTACAAACAACATTAATATCGAAACTCCAAATTAAATTACACAAAACAATAATAAACAAATAAAAGTCAAACAATCAGAATGCAGAAATGCTGCTTTGGATTCAAATCTCCAACCATGAAACAGTCACAAGTCTAGCTAAACTCAAATAGTTTTGGCCAAAAAGAAGCGAACTTTAGATTACCCATTTCAAGATTTGAGCTTTTCTGATCCAAAACACAACACCCAATCCAAACTCTTGCTCTGTGGCATTCGCAGCATCAAAATCAATCCAATCCAAGAGTGAGTGCATACAGAAAAATACCCAGAATTCAGAAGGGAAAATGACTGACCAAAATTGACTCCTTGGCAGCTAAAACCAGCGCGACACAGATTCTCCGCGTCATTTTCCTGGGAAAATGGGTATGGAAATTGCCTGGGAAGAATAGGGTTTAAGGTGGTGGGGTTTATACAAGAGGAGAAAATTAGAAGAGTTAGCAAATTTAAATGGCGGGCGTGGGCATTTAGATTCTTGATTCATGATTCTTGATGGATAAATGTATGCGTAATGTAAGAAATTTCCAGTGTTGTTTTTTGTTAAATGATTGAGATTGAAATTGCAAAGAAATTTCCAGTGTTGTTGGGTGCACCGTGAGTTTTCAATTTTACGATGAGGCCCAGTTGGTTTCCCAATTTCCCATCATCCCATGTGGTCGACTGTGCAAATTATTGTATGTATCGTGGTCCACACAGTGTTGTGTGGATCATAACAAAAAATACATTATTTTATATTGTATGTATATTATTTTTGTATTGAGTGTACATTATACAATATATTATACATTCACTAAAAAATAATATATATGCTCTTAATATAATATACATAATTTTTGTATTGAATGTACATTATTTTACAATATAAAAAATATGATGCACACAATAATAATTGGTCAAGTGTAACCATTTCTTTTTGTAAATATGAATTTGCAATGAAAAACGTTTCCCTTTTAAATCTTTAGCAACTTCCTTTCCTTTTGTTTTTTTGAAAAAAAAAAGTTAAATTGACCATTTAACTGAACCCGATAGTGCAATTATGTCTCTTATATAAAAAATAGTTTTACACGTGTATTGCGCGAATGAGTTAATGTCTAATGTTTATAATTAAATAAGTATTTGAAAGTATATCAATGCAAGATTATATATGAGAAGTTCATAAATAAGTAATTGAATGTCGAATTTGCTTATTTAAATATGTAACTCAAAGTATATTAATACAAGATAATATATGAGATTCATTATAATTATCACTAAAATAAATGTTTGGAAATTTATAAAATTGATAGTTTACCTACTTAGTCTACAAACGGTAGTTTAAATAAATACTACTTTTAGTTTGAATTTTTCTAAGTATTCTTAATTCTCTTTTGAGTATCATTGTCATTGTCTTCATCATCTTTACTATTTGTCCTCTTCTTTTTTGTTGGCAGTGTGTTATTTGCAATTGGGTTACTATTGGTAGCATAGATGACAGCGGCATGCAATGAGATTATGGTGTCGGAAGTTGTGAATTTTCCTTGTTGTGTATATGACTGGGATCTTAGTTGTACTATGAACTCTTGATCTTGCAAGATCCTGTTGATATCTTGTAGTGGTGATGAGAGTGGAAGCGATCGTAGAATTCACTAACAGAATCAGAATACAATAATACTCTCAGGAGAGAGAACTAACTAATAGGCTAAAGACTAGGACATTATTCTATGTTACACAATATACACAAGATAATATAATAATAATAATAATATAGTCTAATACTCCCCCTCAAGCGCAAGGCTGGTGGCACACCACATTGAGCTTGGCACGAAGAATCCCAAAGCGTGCTGCCGGCAACGGTTTGGTGAAGATGTCCGCCAGCTGATCTTTGGTTGACACAAAATGGACTTGGAACTCACCAGAGGAGACTTTATCTCGTACAAAATGGTAGTCAACTTCTACATGCTTGGTGCGGGCATGGAAAACCAAGTTTGCGCAGAGGTATGTGGCGCCAAGGTTGTCACACCATAGCGTGGGTGCTGTAGGGGCATTCAAGCGCAACTCTCGCAGCAGAGATACAACCCAGGTGACCTCTGCACACACATCAGCCAGGCCTTTGTACTCGGCTTCTGTCGAAGAGCGCGCTACTGTGCGTTGCTTCCGAGAGACTCACGAGACAAGGTTGGACCCAAAAAACACGGCATAACCGCTGGTGGACTTTCGATCGACCGGATAGCCGGCCCAGTCAGAATCTGAATAAGCATGAATATCGGACGACCTGGACGGAGAGATGCGGAGTCCGTAATCCAAAGTCCCCTTTATGTAGCGGAGGAAACGCTTAAGTAGCCCCTAGTGGTCCTCCGTGGGAGTGTGCATAAACTGGCAAAGGCGGTTGACAGCATAGGACATATCTGGGCGAGTGATGGTGAGATACTGTAGAGGCCCGGCTAGACGACGATAGTGCGTCGGGTTGTGAAACAGATCGGTAGACTGACTCACCGGTTGAGTGACGGAGGCTAGTGTAGCTAGGGGCTTGCATTCAGTCATGCCTGCTCGCTGCAAAATGTCACGCATGTAACGCCGTTGCGTCAGAATCATGCCCTCTGGAACGGCTAGAGTCTCTATGCCAAGGAAGAAGGTGGGTTTGCTAAGATCCCGGATTTTGAACGTCGTAGCCAGTCGCTGAAGTAGAGAATCAACCAAGATGGTGCCATCGCCTAGCATGATGATGTCGTCCATATAGACGAGTAAGAAAACCCGTGAATCCCCAGCTGAGTAGTGGAAAAGGGACACATCCGTCTTGGAAGCGACAAACCCTATTACAAGTAAGAAGTCATGCAGGCGGTTGAACCACAATGTTCTTGTTCGGTGTAGCGGGAACCAGCTGCCATGTGTTGTTATGCAGTAAGGCATTGAACTCTTGGTCCATAGCGTCCCGCCATTGCGGATGCCCAACCGCCTGTGAGTAGCAGGTAGGGTCGTCGGTAGACGCAGTGAGAGCATGAAATTGCTCCCTAGTGCCTTGTGTCATATGCCGGAGCCGCATGACATGAGCCCATTCGCAGGGCTGGGCCCTCGGCACTCGTCTCCTGGGTGCACGAGTTGGTCCACACAGATTGATAGGGGGCGGTAAAGCTGATATGACACAGCCGCTACCTTGGAGAACGGGACTGGAGCCCCACGGTGCATTGGGCGCGTCTGGTTGCGCTACATTCTGTTTGAAATCATCTGTTGCAAAAGGAAAGTTAGATTCATCAAAGCGGACATGGCGACAGACATAGGTTTTCCCGGTGTTTAGACACATGCAGCGGTAACCTCTAAAAGGCGGTGGATAGCCTAAGAAGACACACGGGCTAGACCGTTACTCTATTTTATGACGGTTATATGTGCGTAGGTAGGGAAAACAGAGACACCCAAACACACGTAGATACGTGTACGTAGGTGGCGACTTATATAGGCGGTAATATGGGGTATCAAACTGGAGTGAGGAGGACGGTAGGCGATTTATAAGGTAAGTGGCTATTTCAAATGCGTGGTCCCAATAACGTTGCGGGACAGACGCTTGGACCATTAATGCCAAGCCGGTCTCGACAATATGCCGATGTCGGCGTTTCACACGGCCGTTTTGTTCGTGTGTATAGGCACATGACTGTCTGTGCACGATCCCTAATTTGGAAAATAGTTTATGCAATTTTTGGTATCCCCCCCCCCCCCCCCCCCCAAATCGGACTGAATGGACTTGATAGAACGCGAAAAAGTACGTTCTACCATCGCCCGAAAAAAATCGAATATTTTATATATGTCAGTTTTGAGTCGTAGAGGATAATACCAATAGAAGCGGGTGTTATCATCTACAAAGAGTACAAAATACCGGGATCCATCCGCCGAAATGACTGGTGCAGGGCCCCATATATCGGTGAAAACAAGATCGAGTACATTATTACTTCATGTAGCTACCCTATCTAAAGGAAATTGTGCCGATTTTCTGAGTTGACACGAGGAACACAACTTTGGTATTACAATTTTATTGGACTCAACCGGGCAATCCCATAAGACACAGTGGAGGGCTTGACCATGTGGGTGACCGAGACGTTGATGCCAGACCACGGAAGAGGCACGAGTCGAGACGAACGCATATTGAGAATTGGGAATTGACAGCGAATATAGGCCTCCCGAGCTTGGACCTTTAAGAAGTACCGCCTGAGTGTTGCAGTCCTTCACAACAAAAAAGGTAGGATGAAATTCAAAATAACAATTATTATCCTTAGTGAAACGATTGACAGATAATAATGACACCGATAGTTCAGGGACATGTAAAATATTAGACAGTTTTAAACACTTGTTAACCGACGGAATTACTGCATGACCCACACGCGAGATCGCCAAACTTGTGTCATTACCCACTATTAGGACGTCATCGCCGTGGTAATCCTCGAAATGCGTGATCACACCAGGATCCGGGGTGGCATGCGTGGAGGCTCCTGTGTCCTGTACCCACGACGTGACTATCAACGACGCCGGTGCTGATCCTTCACCCGCGACGGTGACGTGGGCTTGCGACGATGGAGGCTCCGAATATGGCCGATAACAGTACGCAGCGGAGTGACCCTGAGATCGGAAGATCTGGTAGTGCAATCCGCCATTCCGGCCACGTATGCCCCGGCCACCGTGCTGATTGCCGCCACGTCCTCCGCCACTGCGAGACTACCGGCCACCGTCGCCATGTTGATGTTTGCCCCGACCCGCGTACAACGCCGAGGGAACACCGCTCACCGTCGTCGGTTGGTAGGTCGGGAAATCATCCGCGTGGATGAACTGCTGCGCCTGGAGGTAATCTGCCAGCTGTGGTATTGACACCGGTGTGCCGGTGATCGCCAAGGAGGAAGCCATAGCCCGGCACTCCGGCCGCAACCCCCGGAAAACGTAGAGGTTTTTCTCCGACAGCGACAAGCTTCTCCCGGCTAGTGCGAGGTCTTCGACTAAATGTTGCGCCCGGCCTAAATACTCCGAGGGAGAGCTATCACCTTGGCGAAGCGATTAAATCTGCCCCAGCAGATTGAGGCATCGAACTTGCGTCGATGAGCCTAGAGCCGTCTCTACCGCCGTCCACACGCCACGGGAAGTTGTTTGTCCGAGCGCGAGATACATGACCTCCTCCGAGAGGGAGGAGATCAATAAGGAGAGGATGGAGGCGTTTTGCTGCACCCACACGCCGTACGCGCGGATTTTCTGTGGCGGAGTTGGCCTCGTCTGATGTCTCGCCAGCGGGAAGCTCCAAGAGCGGCGATGGACATGGACGAGAGCCATCTACGAAGCCGAGTAATCCTTGGCCTCGCGGGAAGGGGATGACTTCTGTACGCCAATATAAATAATTCCGGTGCATGAGTTTGAGTGACACAAAGTGGTGTGCACTCGTAAGGGTGTTGTAGGTGGTGTTTGGGGAGGAGATGGTGGTGGCGGTGAGTGTACGCTCGGAACTATGCGACGTTGTCGACGGGAAGGGAGAGAGAGAAAAGATCGAAGGATTGTCACTGGCTAGCTGATACCAGATGAGAGTGGAAGCGATCGTAGAATTCACTAACAGAATCATAATACAATAATACTCTCAGGAGAGAAAGTATTGAATAAAATTAGGGGTGGGCACTTCGGTTCGGTTTAACCGAACTGAACCGAACCGAACTAGTAATAGAAAACCGAACGGTTCAGAATTTTGTAACCCGAACGGTTTAGTACCGAACCGAACCGAATGCTATATAATTTTTTTTAATAAATAATAATAATAATAATAATAAAATTAATAATAACAATAATAATAATAATAATAATAATAATAATAATAATAATAATAATAATAATAATAATAATAATAACAATAATAATAAAAAAGAAGTAAATCCAAGTTCCTCGATGCCTGCTCCGCTGTTCAGTTCTCATTCTTACTGGTACCGAACCTTACATTTTTTATTTGATTTCTTTATAGCTTGTTTTCTACATTGCACTTTTGTTGTTTGTCGCAATTGTTCTTTACCTCACAATTATATCTAACTTGAGTTATATTTACAATATTCAGTATTTTCCTTAGTTTCATGTTTTTCTATAAATTTAATGTGCTTTACAGTCATTCTAATTTTGATTTCCAGTGCACTATAATTATTTTCTAGTATTGGAATATATTTCGAGTGCACTAGCAATGATAGATTGTGTCCAAAAATTAACTATATAGTAATTGACACTAGTTCTTTTAATATCAACTATACAGATAGATGATTATTCATCTTATCAATAAAAATATTCCAACTGAACCAACTGAAGAGTCGGTTGTGCAAAAACGTTAACTGATGTTTGGTAATTAGTACTTAGTATTGTGTTTGAACTTTGGATTGCTATTTTGTTATATAATGTTTAGAGTTTGAATTTGGATTATGTGAATATGTATTGTTTGGTAGTATGTTCGAAAAATTAGAAAATGTTGAAATTTGGGGAGCTTAAACCGAACCGAATTAAATCCGAACCGAAACCGAACCGTTTCAAACCGAACCGAACCTTAATGTTAAACCGAATGGTTTAACTTTTTTAAAACCGAAAAACCGAAACCGAAATCGAAAAAACCAAAACCGAAACACGAAACGCCCACCCCTAAATAAAATATTAATATTTTTTTTATATTTGTATAAGGTTCTTGAATATTATCTCTTGTTTTATTTTCATAACTTGTTTACTTGATAATAACAATAATAACTCTACATGTAATCCTAATAATGGTGAGTGTTTTTTTTTTAAAAAATATTATTGAATTGATACTAATCTTGGAGTTAAATTATTTTCCACATAATTTTTTTTTAAATAGTAACCAAATATTTTTGTTGCGAATGGTTCTAATATATTTAATGAATGCACATACAAGATCAATGAATGAATCAACGGTACCCGTCCTTTAGGTGTTTTGCTCATTATTTATTTAGGTGTTTTGCTCAATGTGGAGGAGGAAGGTGGGGGAGTAGCATGTTAGGGTTTGTTTGAGCTGCTGCAATGAGGAGGCCGAAGGAGGGAAAAAAAAAAGGAAGAATGCTGCGGCGGTGGAGGAGGAAGAGCAAGGAACCAGACGCCGCCGCCTCTACCAAACGAGCGAAGGCGGCGGCCGCCGGAGGAAGTGGAAGGAGCCGACCTTAAGTTGGGGAAGGGAGAAAATTTTTAGCGAGAGAAAGCCACAAATTATATTGTTATCAGTAATTATAGATTAGTTTTTAAAAGTTCAAATTGTATCATTTTAATGAGTTAAAACAGTTAATTAGGGTTTTGTTGGGGGTATTATTATAAAAATGTAGAAAATGAAAACAGATATGAGAATACAAGGACAGTCTCCATGTCCAGAGAGCTGATACGCAGAGATTTTTTCTAAGCAAGCTTAAGGCAAATAGCATGAAAACGGAAGGTACTATTTTCGCAGTGCAGGAGCTATATGTGTCCTATTTCTAGTAAGTCAAGATCGCGAATCGCAATTTCAGTATGTAAAATTGCAATTTTCCCCTGTTTCTATTCTTTGCTATTTTCCTTTTCATTTCTGGTTTACTTAGCTCAGTAGCTTTGAAATCCTAGTTTATTACAAGTTTCTCCTCTCGTTAAAATGGGTGAAAAACTTCCATTGTTTTTCAGATTTATGGCAGCCATTGATGAGTTTCAAACCAAACTTGTATGTTGTTCTATCTTCATTTTCACTATGTTTTCTTTCTATATTTTCAAGAGTCTTGCTCTAAAGTGATTTTATTTATTTATTTATTTTTTAAAACAAACTTGTTGAACAGGACCTCCACCCATTATCTCCCAAAAGCTTGTTGAACAGGAGGTTGAACAAGTGTTGTTAACCAGCCAAAAGGGCACATGGGAAGTTGAAACCCATAGATCTGGAGGAAAGCTCTACTTCACAAAGGGGTGGGATGAATTTGTCCTGCAACATGCCCTACATAATGAAGATCTTTTACTGTTTGAACACTGGCGGCTCGAGTTCTAATGCCTCCGAGCGAAGCAGTCAGAGGTTGCTTTTCCGGTGGCGATGAAATTTCCAAGGGCGGACAAATGTAGAATGCTACTGCTTCCTTGAGAAACAGGATCTTTGAAAGTCTGAAACACATAACCGCGATTGCTGAGGCCAAAAGCACAAAACACAGTACCCATAACAAAGCATAAACTACTTTTCCTCCAGCCTCTACTTTACCTTCACCCTTCTTCCTCATCCTCTCTATTTCTAAACAAACATATACATCTCCTGAGTCCAAATTTCCAACGCGAGCGAAGCAGTCGAAGGCTGCAGAGAAGCTGCATTTTTTGCGGCGATGAAAAAAACTTTCCCTTTTTATATTTTAACCTGGATTGACCGAATTACCCCTCTTATTAAACAAATTAAAATGAATTACAAGTTTCCGGCGAAAATTGGCCAGCAATTTGGCCGGATGGACCAAATCTGTTAAAAATTACATAGTTAGGGTTCTAAATTGTTAATTTTTAAAGTCGTGGATTGAATTTAACAAGACCCTAATAGTTATAGGACTAAAAGTGTAATTTTCTCTTATAATATTTATAAACTATAAAAAGTTATAAAAATTTTATAAACTTTATAACGTAATAATACTAAAATTATAAAATAAATATATTACATGTAAATTATATTAGTGTTAAATGTAAATTAAATAAATTATAACTATATTACAAATTAAAATCTAATTACTTGAACATACATTAAAATTTAATTATCTAAACATATATTATATATAAACACACTTGACATTTGTTCAACAAGTTCATTGTGTTCAGTTGGTAAAGTTTCTAATTCTTTACTCTTAGGTTAAGAGTTTGAATCTTACTATATATAATATAATAGAAATTTAAAAAATAATATAATTAATTATTTAAGTAATAAAAAACAAGGCTGGCGGGTTAGCCCGTGTTTAGCTGGATTGGGCCAAGAATCCCAACCCGGATTCAAAACGGATTAACTTGAGCCCGGCCCGTTTTGACAGCTCTAATTGCAACAAACACACATGAAAGGAATAAAAGATATGAATTGTGACCAAAAGGCAAACGGGGTCCAATCTAAACGTATTATAGTCTTATCTTTATCTCGTGGAATGAAAATACGAATGTTGCTGAAAATTAAAAAATCCAAAACGTGCGTATGGAATAGCGGTGCTGGGTCCCAAAAATTGGACGAACAAAATAAGACATTTTATTCGGCAAATTTTTATGTAGACCATAAAAAATATATATTTTTAATATATTTAAACTATGTTATTTGTGTACTAAATGTACATTATATAAAATAATACACTTTCAGTTTAAATATAACAGTGCCAGGCCATGTTGTCTGGTCCACATTAATAAAATGTCTTGTCTTGCAAGGTGGATCCGGGTCCATGGCATAACAATTGGACAGAACAAAAAAAAAGGCATTTTATTCAGCAAATTTTTTTCTGGACCATAAAAAAAATTAATATATTTAAACTATGTTATTTGTGTACTAAATGTACATTATATAAAATAATGTACTTTCAGCCCTCAAATCATATACTTTTTATTTATGATCTATACAGTTGTGTGGACCATGATCGGCACATTAATGATTGCGTTTTAATGATCGAGTACAATGAGACCCAAAAATGACCAATCTAGTAAAGTTGAAACTTGAGCAACTCTATCAACTAAATACAATGATATATGTTAAGGACCTTGTGATCCAATGGCACCAAGTTGCTCCCTTATATGGGAGATTGTGGGATTGAGCTTCCGTGGAGACGATATTTATCTAGAATATCTGGTTCGATTAACAAGGCAGGCAAAATGGAATTGATGGAGAATAGAGTCATGGAATGTTATGAACAGTTACTGCATTGTAATAGAGTCAGTAGTATTCAAAAAGAAGATGAACTCACCTATAAATGTATGTTATGTTTAACATCATTTCTATAATAAAGAATAGTTTTCAATAGTTTGGCTTATCGGGCTAGCCCATTTAATTTCGGGCTAGTCCTATCGGGCCATCGAGCTAATCGGTTTCAGGCTCATTGGGCTAGCCCGTTCGGGCCATAGCCCTGTCGGTTTCGATTTTATCGAGCCGGGCCATCGGGTTTGGGCCCGATTGACATCCCTAGTAGGAAGGAATAAGCGTATTGTTTTTACATATATTGGGCAGAAGATAAGGCAGAGGTTTGTTTCATGGAATAAACGTTTTTTTGTCACAAGCAAGTAAAGAGATTTTATTGAAGAGTGTGGCTCAGGTCATGCCTACATTTACTATGAGTGTATATTTACTGCTTAAGACTCTTTGCCAGGATCTGGAGCGGTGCATGAATAAGCATTGGTGGGGATCAGGTGGTGAACGAAGTGGAGTCATTTGGCTAGCGTGGGACATAATGTGTTGTTCAAAAAGAGATGGTGGGTTGGGATTTAAACAGTTGCACCAATTTAATGTGGCATTACCTAGGAAACAGGGTTGGCGGCTATTCACAAACCCTTTATCCCTAGTGACACGGATTTTCAAAGTCAGATATTATCCTAATTCTACTTTTTTGGAGGCAAATCTTCGTTATACTCCTAGTTACTGTTGGAGGAGTATTATGGCTACTCAGGACCTAGTTAGGACCGGGGTGTGTAGAAGGGTTGGTAACGGATTAATTACATACTAAGGTTTGGGGCCACCCATGGCTTCTAGACAATAATAATCCCTTTGTTTTAACTGATGTTCTGCCACCTCTCAGGGATATTATTGTGGCCAATATTATAACATTGGATGGTCCGCCGTGGAACCTGGAGATATTGAGGGATTTGTTTAATGACAGGGATGTGAATAGTGGTGGATCCAGAAAATTAGGTGAATGGGGCAAAATAACTTTAGAATTGTCAATGACAAAATATCAAACACCTATAACATGATTCAAATACATTATAAATTATAATACAATATTTATGATAGACTATAGAATAGTTAAGAGCAGAGCCAAAACTATACTTGGGTAGGGTGACATTTTAAAACACTTTAAAATGTTATAAAACTATCTATGGCAAAATATAAAATATAATCAATTAGATAAAATAGTCTGTTCAAAATTAATTTGAATAAGATGAAGTATAATATAAACTTGTTGTAGAAGGATTTGAACCTATGACATGATCTCATGTCAAATTCAAAACTCTACCAGCTGAACAACAGAGTTTCTTATAAGGATTTATACATGTACATATATAATAATTGAAAGGGGGTGATGGGGGCAACTACTCCCCTGCCCCCATTGTGGCTCAATGTGGATCAAATTAGAAAAATTCCTATTTGTCTAGAGTATATGGACGAGTGGTATTGGTCGGGGCCCGGAGAAGGGACTATTTTGTAAAACATGGTTATAGGTTGCTTATGGCACAAGACGCAACACCGCCACAACCATCTTCATTTACAAAGTGAAGCCTAGTGGTCCGGGGGCTTAATGCACCTCATATATAGGTGGAAAGTCTTAATGTGGAGAGCAATAAAAGGAATTCTACCCGTGAAGAGCGATCTTCTTTTAAAAAGGGTGGACATACCACCCGAATGCTCTGTTTTTGGAATTGAGATTGAACATACAATGCATGCTTTGTGTACTTGCATCAATGCAGAAACGATGTGGTGGCCGTGACACATGCAGATGTTGCTGACTGGCTGGGGGGTTTGCTGGAGACATGTGGGCAGCAGCAACGCGTGGAGGTAGCCGCAATCCTCTACACAATTTGGGAGGCGAGAAACCAAGCGGTGTGGGAGTCGCTTGGATGTCTGCATTGAGTCTGACGGTCTTAACTTAGGCTGTTCTCATCCCTGAAATTCACCCACTTTCTAAATGATATGACTTTTTAAAAGCTATTTTGTTTTAATTTTTTTTGCCATGTTGGATAGAAAGCTTGCAAATTTAGCAAGCTTTCTAATCCTGTGGCAGCTTTTGTGTACCTTTTTTTTTAATTTAAATTTTTTGTTTTAATTTATAAGCTATTTATTATTATATCATACTAGTATTTGTCTCGTGCGATGCACGGAAATTATGTTATAAAAATATATCATATATGAGGTTTATTCATATATATATAATTTTTGTTATTTAATAATTATTATGTGTGAATTCCTATGATAAAATTATGAACATATATTTACAATTAAAATAATATTTAAGGTGGGTGATTACTACAAATCTTAAACTATATTAAAAAGGAATAAGTGTCAAATATGCCACTCAATTGCACACCAAAGTGCAATTAGGCCATTGAACTCAAAAAGAATGCAATTAAGCCATTGAACAATACAAAAATATGCAATTTAGCCCAAAATGACTTGTTTACCTAGAGTAGTAAGTTACCAATTTCAAAATTAATTTTTTAAAATAATTTTTAATAAATAAATAATTAAATTATTATTAAAAAAAAAATAAAAAAAAAATAGAAACTTCCGGCTCGTCTCCGGCCGGCTACATCTCTGTGGCCGGAGACGGACCTCCGTCTCCAGCCATGGAGACAAAGACCTTCGTCTCCATGGCCAGGGAGACGAAGGGACGGTCCCTTCGTCTCCATGGCCGGAGACGATTCGTCTCCATAGCCATGGAGACGAAGGGACCTTCGTCTCCATAGCCATGGAGACGAAGGTCTTTGTCTCCATGGCTGGAGACGGAGGTTCGTCTCCGGCCATGGAGACAAAGCCGGCCGGAGACGATTCGTCTCTGGCCGGCAGTTTCTGTTTTTTTTTTTTTTTTTTAAATTTATTTATTTATTAATATTTTAATTATTTATTTATTAAAAGTTATTTTAAAAAATTAATTTTGAAATTGGTAACTTGCTACTCTAGGTAAACAAGTCATTTTGGGCTAAATTGCATGTTTTTGTGTTGTTCAATGGCTTAATTGCATTCTTTTTGAGTTCAATGGCCTAATTGCACTTTGGTGTGCAGTTGAGTGGCCTATTTGACCCTTATTCCTATTAAAAATTTAGTACATATAGTATTTAATATTACAAATTTTTAAGAACTTAGTAAACTATAATAGTAATTGAATTACAATTTTAGAGTCACCACGGATCAAAATTTTTAGACCTTTGAGATTTCTAACTCTAGATGTAGCAACATACAATTGACCTTTAAAGACCAAACAATTATTTATAAATATAAATGGCTATTAATCATCATCACCAATTTTAAAAAATAATTGTAACAATAATTGCTCACCAAACTATATGGCTATATTATAGTTAAGATTTCAATTGTTTGTTTAGAGTTAAAAATGATTTTTAAGTGTTAACATTTATTTTCCTTATCTGGTTTGTCCTTCACTTTTGCGTTCTTTTCCCTTTGATATTTTATAAATAGTTTTCAGGAGTTTTCCCTTTGTTATCTGGTTTGGCATCATTTTTAATGCTATATTATTATTTTTGTTGCAAAATTCACTATTTCCATGTAATTATATGGGTAATGTATCAGATTTTGTTGTATTGCACTAAACATTTTCTTCACTTGTTTCCTGTTATATATCATATGTTTTTCACTCATATAAAAAGTGTT